TTTGGTCGGTAGTTGGGCCTGACGGAACATCGACATCCATCAAGTCAAGCTTAATCTTCTTATCGGGTGGTGCTCCAAGTTCGTCACCGGCCTCTTTGCCACGGATTTCATCGAGAATGGCACGCTGGCCGGCCTCGACCATCTCAATCTCCACGAGATTGCGCGCATCGGGATCCTCTGCGACTCTTCTCCAGCGGGTAACCCAGACGGCCTTGTCGCGGTTGATGACTAGTTTCGCAACAAGATCGGGATGGTCATAGTCAAATAGTTCCATAAGGTCATTTTCAACGTCGCGCAGAGGTTTTAATGTTCCGTCCTCGTCCTTTCCGCCGAGGATTTCAAGTGCCTGATCTGTTTTCTCATGCTGGATATGAGCATCTCTGTATATGGCACCGATTTGACGTTGCAGCCAGTAGGCATCGATTTCGCGTGCGGAGACCTTCAACCCAGTCTTTTCTGCGGCTTTGTCACCTCCGTCGAGACCTCCGTCAATGACCATTTCATCTCCATCTTCGTCTTGGGCTGCTGCAACATCGTCGAGTGCGAGTTTCTCTTGTTCGTCTTCTTCGTCTTCGTCGCTGAGATCGTCCTCGTCTCGAACTTCGTCCACGGTTCCCATGCGCTCATCGTCTTCATCTTCTTCATCGAAGACGACAGCAACACCTTGGCGTTCATCGAGTTCGCCGCCTTCTTCATCGATGCCGCCCTCCATCTCTTCCTCTTCGTCCTGGGCATCGTAGTCTGTAATCTTTTTGCCCAGGTTCACGAGCTCGTTGAACTCCTTAGGGTTCATTGTAGTTCCCAAAAGATCATCAATCTCCTTCTTTTTATCGAAATCTTTCATATCCTCATCCTTGAGTAGTTCCAAAACAGCGTCGGCAGCACTTCGAACGACTTCATGGGGGACATCGCCCAGCTGGCTTCCGGTAATTGTGAGAATAAGGTCATACGTGGCTCGTGTGGCGGGTGTGCGAGGACGATATTTCAAGCCTTCAACGAAGGCATCGGCTGCTGAAAGGATACCCTGGCCCCGTAGTTGTGCTGGTTGGCCGCGGTGGCGCTTTTTCTGTTCGCGTAAAAGCACATCTTCACCTTCGCCGATTGCGCCCCGCTCGAGACCTGTCAGAGCTGTCTTCTTAAATTTTGGCGCATCATCACGCGCGACTCGTCCACCCATTTCCCGGATCCCAATGCGACCAGCGAGAGACTCCGGGTCTCCAGTGGGTTCGTCATGGGTGCGACTGATAAAACGACGGTCCGCCTGGAGAACCAGGTTGGACATCGCCGAGTACTTGTACTGCGAAATATTTTGGTCCGCCATCTTATTGGTTGTATGGCTGGATCAAGAAATAGAAAAACGACGAAGGAAAGAGTGAGTTGCGACAAGAACCTGCCTGCGGAGGGTCAAGATTCAGGCCGCGCCGAGACACGAGATAGCGGCGATTGATCAATTTCAAATGGTCTCACAAACCTGGCTCATCCTCCTGCCACAAGCAAAGTCACTTGTAAGGGAGAAATATCAGCCAAGGTTGTAGATAGATGAAGCCAAAGAGAGCAGTTCGGGAAGATTTCGGTGGCGAAGGCGGAAGGAGGGGAGCTTGGATAATTCTGCCACCCCAAACGGTTTGTAGCGCGTCACAATCATGTGCCGTGGTCTGTCGATTTCTCATTTAAAGCCAGTTTACATGAGGCCGTGGACGATTTTGAACCATTCATATTATCGTTATAGCATACACCGGGCCATTTGTCACCATGCCCGTCGACCTTCCATACACGCACGCGTGCCCACTACCGCACCGAAAGTTTACATACGAGGCGCAAAAACTGAATCGACAGTAAAGTTGAAAGACCTTCCACAAGGAGTTTTGAAACTCAAGGCATATGATGATCGAGTGGATGAGGCACCTCGTTACCCAACTGTGGTACAGGGGCACCGGAACAATATGCAAACGTTCAAGAACTGTGTAATCTTGACCCGAGTCGGGGGCTTCTATGAGGTACGACAATAGGCACTACATGGCTAGAGAAACCCATGCTAAGAATGTATTCCGTAGCTCTATTTTGAACAAGCAGAGGAGCTGGCACCATTGCTCAATCTCAAGCTCGCGACCAAAAAGACGAACGGTGGGCCAGTTCCAATGGCTGGCTTCCCCTTCTTCCAGCTCGATCGTTTTCTCAAAACCCTCGTCGGAGATCTCAACAAGTATGTGGCTATTAGCGAAGAGTTTGTTATCAATGCAGAAGACAAGGCACGCACAGGAGGCCTCATGTTTGATCGGAAGGTGGCTAGAATCATCACACCCGGCACGCTGATTGACGAGAAGTTCATTGATCCTTCCGAGCATAATTTCCTGTTGGCCATATACTTGGATGTCCCGTACTTGCAATCGCAATTGAAGCAACACGCTGACAATGATCTCCAACCATCGCATCAGCATGTGTTGTCCTCTGTACCCCAACAAGTAGGATTGTCATGGCTTGACCTCTCGACCGGTGATTTCTTCACTCAGCTCACAACGACCCAAATGCTTCCATCGGCGATTGCCCGAATTGGAGCTCGTGAGATCTTGGTAGATCAGAGTGTGCAAGATCTTATTGGACATGAATTACAAATGCTAGTCGGACATGATCATCGCCTTGTCACCTTCTTCCAATTCCCTGGAATATTCAAGCCGGTATCTGAATGGGGGACAATGTTAGAGTGTCCGGTTCCCGAAGATGCTCTCGCCTCATTCACACCGGAAGAAGTAGCGGCTGGTTACAGCCTGCTCGAGTACACTCGCGTGCAGTTGCAAGGATCAAATCTCAAGCTTCAGCCTCCTATTCGAAGGCATTTGAATGAATCAATGGGCATTGATCGTAACAGCATGAGTGGCCTGGAGATACTCGAAACAGCAAGAGACGGTTTTGGGAAAGGAAGTCTTCTGCACGCTGTGCGAAGGACTTCTACAAAAAGCGGTGCACGGCTTTTACGAGACCGGTTAAGTACGTCCAACTACAATTCTACCGTTTACGTGTAGCTCTTACTAATGCATTCCACGCAGCCTCTCCATCTACATCCTTACAAGTCATCAATGAGCGTCTGGACCTTGTCTCGGTTTTCATAGAGCATGTAGAGCTACGTGACAGCGTCATCCAACTTTTGAAGCGTAGCCATGATTCTCAGCGCCTGGTTCAAAAATTTGCATTTGGGAAAGGAGACCCGGATGACTTGATATGTCTCTCCCGTGCCATTGAGGCCTCTAAGGAAGTCAGACAAGTTCTTCTAGACCACAATAGACTTGCGGTTTCGTCCAGCACTTCAGATTTAAGTCACAGTCTTACTATTATGATCTCACGGCTTTTTCTCGATGGTCCCATCGCGCTAGCGGGCCGGATTCTTGCGGCCATTGACGAAGAAGGCTTACTCCAAAAGCAACGCCTCGAGGATAGTACCGCCGCAGAGGCAGCCAATCTGGCACAAAAGGTAACTATGGATGAAGCCACATCCAGTGAACTGGAAGGACTGCCGAAGAAGTTCAGAGCGAAGAGGGGCGAGCGAACAGTTGTGGCTGATACGGACTCCGGTCCCCTCGATACCTGGATTATGAGGCGTGATGCAAGCAAGAACTTGCATGCACTCCACGCGGAGCTACAACGGTTGGGCGATGAAAAGACTTCATTGACTCAACGTTTCCGTGATTCGGTCGATTCGTCAGCCCTGAGCCTTAAATGGACCCCAGGTTTGGGCCACATCTGCCATGTCAAAGGGACAAAAATTTCTCAAAAATCCCTAGAAGACTTGGGGGTCACTCGAAATGTCTCATCGACCAAATCTACCCGGTCATTCTATCTACCAGCCTGGACAGAGCTAGGGGTCAAAATGGACCACGTGAAAATTCGGATCCGTCAAGAAGAGCAAACGATCTTTGAATGCCTACGCCGTGAGGTTATCCTAAACCTTGTCAAAATCCGCCGAAATGCGGCAGTCATGGATGAGTTGGACGTGGCGTGTTCATTTGCAACACTCGCTCAAGAACAGCAGATGGTACGGCCGATTCTCAACGACGGTACCTGTCATAAGATTATCGGTGGAAGACATCCCACGGTAAAACTGGGTTTAGAGGAACAGGGACGATCGTTCGTGAGTAACGATTGCTTCCTGGGCGATTCCGAGCGGATCTGGCTTATCACTGGCCCCAACATGGCAGGCAAAAGTACCTTTTTGCGACAAAACGCTTTAATCACGATTCTCGCACAAGTCGGATCTTTTGTACCTGCAGCTTATGCCGAGATCGGTATTGTCGATCAGATCTTCAGCCGAATTGGTGCAGCAGACGACCTCTTCCGTGACCAGTCGACGTTCATGGTGGAGATGTTGGAAACAGCTACCATTCTCAAACAAGCCACCCCCAAGTCATTTGTGATTATGGATGAAGTGGGCCGAGGCACAACCCCCGAGGACGGCACATCTGTCAGTTTTGCATGCCTGCATCACTTACACAATCACAACCAGTCTCGAGTGCTTTTCGCTACTCATTTCCATGCCCTTGCGGATATGACAGAGGACTTTGATAAGTTGGCGAGATACTGCACAGATGTGAAAGACATGGCTTCGGGTGCCTTCTCTTTCGTCCACCGGCTGCGAAAAGGCGTCAATCGCCAGTCTCATGCTCTGAAGGTTGCTCAATTGGCTGGTTTGCCGAGAGAGACCCTCGACCTAGCTATGCGAGTCCGCCAGGAAATGAAGGATAAGATCCCACCATATCGAGTTGACGAAGAAGATCAACCCTAGCCTGAGGGTTAAATTTCGTGGTGGATAATCACTTCAAGGTAAACACTATCCACTACTGTGTGCAATTTTTTGTAAAATTTTTCGGCTTCTCTTGTCAAAGATACCACCAAATCGCATAGCGATGTTGGCAAATGTGCCTTCCTCGCATCTTTTTTCAATACTGACTGTCGAGTTTTTGGTTTCAACCCAAGAACTCAACACTTGTAAGTAGACAAGCATCTACACATCACAGCTTAGCCGACCATAGTTTTGCACCCTTCTCAACTCGCCTAAGCTGACCCTTCCGACCAAGATCAACAACTATACCCTCCCCAAACGCAGCTTCCTGACAATCCTCATCTCCAACCCCATTAACAAACTGCACAACAACAAAATCAACCCTCCTACGGCCCAAAACTACCATAGGCGCATGCCACGTCCCAACCCCATAAGTAACAGCCTGGCCGCCACGCGCCACAAACGCTTTAATATTACTCAGATCCGGTGGGTCACGAATCTTAATCGTCTCGCCGGTCTCATTCTTAGCGTCAGCAGTCTTCCCTTTCAAAGTGGGCGCAACCACCACCAAGAACAGTGGCTCTTCTTCACCATCCCCGACCTTCGAATGGGCTGATAGATCCACTGGAATGAAAGTCTGATTCGTAAACGGGTGGCGCTCAAGGATGCCCACATCAAACACCTCACTGTCAGGCAATTGGGCACCGGTGCTGAGAGCGCGCAAGGTGCGCGGGAAACAGCAGAACATGGTCATGCGTGCCTCGGAGGCCTGCCCGCTTGGACAGGCATTCGTGTAGCGGTCGAGAAGCGGGGCGATGGGACTGTACTTGAGAGCGGAGTTTTGGTTCGCCAGGTCCGGGGTTGGGTCGTGTGGCGGCAGGGATGATGGTCGAGTAATTGTGTTTAGTTCTCTCGGTAATGGCGATACCACTGCTGTGCCAAATTGTGCGAAATTCTCCCGTGTAAGAGGCTCCGGAGTGAGCGTCACTGTAGGGTTGGTCAAGAGGATCGGCGCCATGATGGAATTTTCGGCATTAATGTGTGTGGGGGCGTGTATGTGTTGGTCAATCTCTTGGGGCCCACCACGATCTAGCGTGCAGGTATGCAACTCTATGGGAGTTAGAGCGCGGAAAGATTGATGTGGCTAAATGAAGCTTATGCGGAGATGTCGGCGTCCTGCGGTGATAAGATAAGCGGCCGGGGAAGTACTTGGACATGTAATTTGGGTCAATTTTGCAGTATACATCAATCAAGTAGCAATCTCTTAAAAATCTATGTCCGAGCGCGATGAGAATGCGCCAGTTTGATACGGAGGCAGAAAAAATCGAGAACTGTCTCTAAGTTGAATCCAATACTCTCACACTAAAGTCCGACCTTTAGAGCTATAAGCTAGAAGTCTATCCTTGCTCCTTATTTTAAAATTAAGAAGCTTACTAATTCGAGTTTAAAAGAAAAGAGTCTCTAATAAGAAACGTTAAATCTCTTAATTAATTATATATAGCCTAGAATAATAAGAAGATATAGGGAAAGCGGTTAATAAAGAAATAATATATATATATATAATAATCCACCGGTTTCTTAATTATATCCCTCATCCCCGAGACATTAAATACTGATTTTAGTTCTTGTTGAACGAAATACAGCGTCCTTTTCCACTAGACCATAACAAAAACCAAGGTTCCTGTTTATGGCCTAGGGGGGCCCATATTTGAGGTTTGACGGTTCTTTTACTCTGTATTCTCTTTATTCTCCCGAGGTTTAAAGTATAAAGACTATTAATTCCTATAGCTTTATCTATATTAACGACTTCGGACTAGGACCAGAATCAGGGCCATTAATCTACCTGTAATGAACCTAGGGTGACTGACATGTATCCACCCCTCCAGATTGATCCAGATAGAGATATAATTCTCTTCACACCAAAAGATCCCCTGATTGACATCAGCAAAGGCACTGTGCCTGGAAACTACGCCCGCTTTCAAATCTCATCGAGGCACCTCACACTTACGTCAGTTTATTACAGAGTATGCTAAAAGCTTGTTGGGCTGAAGGGGATGCTCTTTAAAAAAAGGGGTCTGTTGAGATTCCTGTCAACGACTGTGAACCAGCTATTCTCTTGATCATTTTGAACCTCATTCACGGCCGTTCACGACAAGTTCCTCCAAAGGTGACCCTACCACGGTTGACTGATATCGCTGTGGCCACCGACTTTTTTCAATGCCACGAGGCTGTCGAGGTATCGGCTGGTATCTAGATACAAGACCTTAGGTCGGCTTTTTCGACCTCGTTCTCAGAAGATACAAAAAAAGTGAATGAGGATCGCCTGGGTCTTCAAGTCCAACGATATTCTTCGACAGACAGAAACAATTCCCAATGCAGCAAGGAACAGGTCCCTGTCAGATAAGCAACCTGGCTATTCCAAAGAGCATTAAAGGGGTGTTGGTGAAATATGGCGCTTGATCGATTTTGAGACCTGTACAGTAACTAACTACATGGTTCCAGATAAGATCGATCAAGCCAGACAATAATACAAAGAACTACTCCAAGTGAAGATTGGAGAACGGCTTGAAACTCTGTTGAATAGCCAGGCTGTGAAGAGGAGTTCTTCTTGTGGCTCCGCGTGCGATGCAGCATACCTTGGCCTCACCCTTCGCAAACTAAGCGAAAATCAGGTGTCTTACTCGGCCAGTGTACCTCCGCGTTTATTTTTTGGTTGCTCTTGCTCCCCCTTTTTCACTGTCTCTTTCAAAAGTGTCAGCCCGACTTCGATCGTCTCTATGGTCAACAGTTGGAAATCGGAATCACCTTGTGGTTCCCATAGTGGTCCTTATGGGTCCAATAGGGATTGTTTAAACAAAAACAACCCTTTCGGGAATGATCTGACTTACGAAGCACAAAAGCTGCCCACTTCGCTACAGGACCCGAGATTTCTTCCTAAATTATGTCATGTATCGATGGCGGTCAATCCCTCAACCTGCAAATTATCTCTGCTTCTCCCATAAATATCCAGACCTGTGCAACCGTTCTTCAAGTCTGTTGAAGTTCTGGGGCATGGCTTGATAATTGTCTCCGTGTGCCGTGTTTTTACTCGCGGAAAATCAGTGTGGACTAAGCTGAAGAAATGGGATGTGAAATCGTGCGTTCTACGTCAATTCCAAGGGGAAAAGGGGCCCATGGCCCCTGGAGATCCAAGATTTGCATTTGCTAAAGCTCACTGGCATCATGCACTCCTACCAGCCTATCATCTCGCAGAACTCGCTACGCTTGCGCTGGAGATGGCAGTTGGCTTGAATATCTAGTAAGCTGCATAGGGTATTTTGGAGCCAGCAAACCAAAGAGTCTGGACCCTTTGCTGGTAGATGCCATGTTCTCTCTGGGCTACTTTTTTGATAGCTCAGCAACAAATTTGTTGCGTGATGAATCCATTTTCAACCATTCGCAAACACTCAAATCACTAGAACAGACGGTGAAAGGGCATCAAGATACTCAAACTCTTAGCTAAATTATGGTATCGACCTACAACCTCCCGCCTACAAGTATGTCCATCGAAAGCGCCGTTCCAGGTCAAGATTAGAACTCCAAGTGCAAATCTTACGTGCTAGCACGGCTTGATTGTGAACTTGAATTATTCTGTATGTTGTAAGCCCAAGCGTCGCAATCTACTCGTCGGTAGTGGTTAGAACCAGCGATTTTCTATAGATTTGACTAGCAAACAACTTATAAAATTACGTGTATTTATGACCCGTAGGGGATACTGAAATCCATTCATGTACGCCCAGTCCAGCTATACTATGCTTGGAGAGTGTAAAAAAAAGTCCCTGGAGCTACCGTGGTAACAACACCATTGTGATGGTGACTGTGTTCCACGTTTAAATGTGAAGGGTAACAGTAATCAATATACTGGCTCAGCAATACTCTTCAAGAGACGGCAGAAAATCCCTGAGTAACATATCGTTTTGCTCTTCAGCAGCGCGTGTGTCATCTTGGTATGTTGGGTAGCGATTGGAGTCACAGCGGTTGCTCAATGGAGTCTAAATTGGAACACTAGGGAGTGTTCCGACCTGCTTGGCTCACAAATTATGACACCCGCTAATGGAAAGCCAGGAAATATCAATACCCCTGACTTCCGCCGGTGACAGAGGAACGGACTCCCTCAGTAACGAAAATTAGAGACACCTTAGCAAATTTGAATCAAGTGGCGTTCTCTCCTTTTGCATCAAATCGTGCTTTCGTTGCTCGTCGTTTGATTTCTCGCTTGGACAAAGGCTTGTCGCTCTCCTCGGCGACAGGCTCAGAACTGATAGAAGCCTTCCTCTTGAGGTTGTCCACTCCATTTTCTGGCTGTGAGGTTTCATTGGCTTTTGGGGCGCTAGCTTTTGGGACGCCCTTTTGTTTTGGCGTGAGTCCTTCATGTTTGGCTTTCTCTCCACCATGGACTATATCCACGATACCTCGCCAACTGGTTCGTTTCAACTTGGCCAATGCGGTCACCTTTCGCGTCTCTTCACAGACTGCTTCCTTTCCACGCTCTTGTGATAGACCCCAGACACAAGCAAGATTTATCACGTCCCACGGGGCTCGTAGACTCAAAGCTCTTCTTGCTTCGCTTGACACAATGATGCCTCGACCACGTGTCGCGCGGATCAAGGATGTTGCATTCCCGATGAGGTTTCTTCGGGCATCAAGCCCACTCCCCGTGATACCTGGCCCATAGCAGATCTCAATACGAACTCCACGTGAGATTGCCGCGGATAGCATTTTGAATTTGAAGTGGTATGGAAGTCGCACCGAGAGATCCACAGAGATCACATCGCATTCCAAGTTAGTGCACGCATTTAGCAGTGACTTTTCGTTTGTGGGACGGAGAGCAACTATGTCGTACACTTGGCTCAGGGCGGTTAAGCGCTGATTCTGCGCGGGATCGGCCAAAGTCAGGTTTAACCGAGTCAGCAGTTGAAGGGATTTCGGCGCGTTTGTTGGAAGAGGAGGTGGAGCGAGGGTTGAAGGGAGCTTCCCGTTGATCGTTTGAGACAGGGCAACGGTAGTGTAACCAACTAAAAAAAAGTCAGGTCAGGCCCTCATGTGCTCTAAACTGCGGATTTTATGCAGCGAAGAGGAATGAATGACTTACGTTCAGCGAGGAAATTCAGAGTGTGGGGTACCTCCGCGTCATCGGGGCTGTAAGGTACATTCAGGTCGTAAAACATTGTGTTTTAAAAGAAGGCCAGCCCTGCCTGTGGGAGCAATTACCTGATCTCTCAACGATCTTGGTCACGTCAATCTGACCCAAAACGGCAATCAGAAAATCCATCGGATTAACAGAGGATCCGACATCGAACTAACTATTTTAGGTCGGGTCTCCACAATATTCTCCGATCCCGTGACCTTTGGCGGAACGCATCTCATTCTACTGATCCTATCACGACAATATCTCACTCCGTGCATCTCATTGCTCTAGGCCTCTTGTGAGCACTGCGTTTGGACTGAATAGTCGCTGGGTCTGTTGCTACCTGTCTCCTACATCAAGCTAACCCCCGGACCCTCCCTCCGTCACACGGCCCAGCCCCTCGTGACCCCGCCGCACATCTCTCAATTGTGGGCGCACTCGGAAACCGCCTGTGATCCTCAATATGGCGCGTGTCTATGCCGATGTCAACGAGCATATGCCTCGATCCTACTGGGATTATGACAGTGTTAACATCTCTTGGGGTGTCCTTGAAAATTATGAAATTCTTCGCAAGATAGGTGAGAGAAGATCGTCTATTTGCAGCATGTCGGAGATGGTTGCCGCTGTGAACTGCGGGAAAAATTCAAGATCAAAATTTCTGACTGCCTAATTCAGGTCGGGGAAAGTACTCCGAGGTTTTTGAGGGCATCAACGTCGTCAACTACCAGAAATGCGTCATCAAGGTCCTCAAGCCTGTCAAGAAGAAGAAGATCAAGCGTGAGATAAAGATTTTGCAAAATCTCGCGGGTGGGCCCAATGTTGTGGCTTTGCTGGATGTTGTTCGCGACAACCAGAGCAAGACTCCTAGTCTGGTCTTCGAGGCTGTTAATAACACCGACTTCCGCACACTCTACCCCCGCTTTTCCGATTACGATGTTCGCTTTTACGTTTTCGAGCTGCTTAAGGCGCTGGACTTCTGCCATAGCAAGGGCATTATGCATCGGGATGTGAAGCCTCACAACGTCATGATTGATCATGAGAAGCGCAAGGTTAGTAGGCTTATTGATCAGTTTTGGTGGAATACCATCAATCTAACATACTGTAGCTTCGTCTGATCGATTGGGGTCTGGCTGAATTCTACCACAAGGGCACGGAATACAACGTCCGCGTTGCATCTCGGTATTTCAAGGGCCCCGAGCTGCTGGTTGATTTCCAGGAATACGACTATTCTTTGGATATGTGGTCCCTGGGTGCTATGTTCGCATCCATGATCTTCCGTAAGGAGCCTTTCTTCCACGGGGGCAGCAACACGGACCAATTGGTCAAGATTGCCAAGGTTCTTGGCACAGAGGAGCTCTTTGAGTACTTGGACAAGTACGACATTGAACTGGATCCGCAATACGACGATATCCTCTCCCGTTTCCCCCGGAAACCGTGGCACTCGTTTGTCAACGCAGAGAACCAGCGTTTCATCAGTGAAGAGGCCATTGACTTCCTTGACAAGCTTCTGCGCTACGACCACGCTGTAAGTTGTTCAAACATCTCTATAAATTGCCTATACTGACTTGTCTCTCAGGACCGCCTGACTGCTCAGGAGGCCATGGCCCACGCATACTTTGACCCGGTGCGTGCCGATGCAGCGGCCCTTAGCCACAACAATGTGACACTGCCATGAATTTTCTCTCGCATGAACTGTTGATGATCATGGCTCTGATCTCCTTACTGCGATGCCCATTTTCCAAGTTCTCCGCATGTTGCCATCAAGATTGCGTCGGGCATCACGATAATTACGCACCTTTTGCATTTGAAATTTGCCGATATGAACGGTACAACGATGATCGAAAACATGAAATGAGCTTGGTCTCCGTACTACTTGTTCCTCTTTTTCACTGGCCTGTCGAATGATGGGCTGTGGCAAACGATCAAATCCTGAATGAAGACGACTTTGATGACAAGACATCATGACATTTAATTTGCTGGGTCCCTCCAAGCCTTTTATCGCCTAGGTCGTTTGGCATGTCAATGAGTGTGATAAACCAACGTCTTAGATGGGGAAATCACTCTTCTTTTTCATCTTTTCCATCTTTTCCTATTTGTATAGCGCTGCTCGTGGGTTTCCCTAATTGATTTCTCCCTGGTTAGTTGAATTGGTGTTTTGGCCTTTCTGCTGGGTACTTCGTGCTTCAAGGGATGCTTTTTCTTAAGACAATCCATTGCATTTTCTTAACGCTTCCCTTTTTATGAATGAAACATTGAACGAGATTCAAAAACGATTTCATGATCCCCTAGAATTGTATGAATTGATTTGCGTATACAACACAACGTTCATGGCGTTTTATACATGACGCCCACACAGATGTGTCTTAACTTATGTGTAGTTATAGAATTGTATGGTGTGCAAGACTCGAGATCCGACTAGAAACCCGATGTCAAGAAAAACAAATGTCTAGTTCAGTAAAGAATTCAAATGATTCCAATCATCCAATCTTGTTCTTCTATAGATGTAGCCTCAGATCACCGATTGGCTCCGGCGCATCACGTGAGGGTTATCGTGGTGGCTGAATGAAAAGAAGAGACGAATTGCAAGCAAGGAACGCGCCAAAAAAGAAGAAGATGATAAACCCAATTAAACCCGATGAGTGTTGACAGCATATAAACGCGCTTCATTGACCTGCCCGCCGACTCCACCGAACCTCCCATCAAGCCCCGCGCTCTCATTCGTTCATTCAGCGTGGGAAATTTAATTGCCCGCATTTCGCACAACCACCCCTCCTTACACCTCTCCATCTCTCAAGATACTTATCCGGCGATTCGTGGCGCGATCGGCGCCTTGGAGATTTACTCCTCAATATCGTGCATTCTCCAGGATGGCTCAAAACTCTGCCTCCCAAAACCCCAGTGAGTTTCATGACTCATCCTCAAATGCCGCAGAAGCTTATAGTGAACAGCGGGTGAGCCTACGGCTCCCGTGACCAGCGCAACCCCCCAGATCACCGATGCTGCCGCAAAGGATTCCCAGGGCCAGCTGGGTGGACCTGCTGGAGCTCCCAAGGTGAAGACCGAGAAGGAATGTACGTTGCCACCAACATTCTAAATTGGGAACTTCCCTCGGAAGTCGTTGTTACATCATGAGCATTTGCTGATAACGTGGACTAATTCTAGTGGAGAGGGAGCGCAAGAAGGCTGAAAAGAACAAGAAGTTCGAAGAGAAGCAGGCAGCCAAGGCCAAGGCTGCCGCCAGCAAGGCCGCAGCTCCCAAGGTCGAGAAGAAGGCGAAACCCGAGAAGGACAAGACCGCCGATGCCTACGATCCCATTGCCATCGAGGCTGGTCGTCTTGAATGGTGGGAGGAGCGTGATCTCTTCAAGCCCGAGTTCGGACCTGATGGCAAGGTCAAACCAGAAGGCTCCTTCGTCATCCCCATTCCCCCTCCCAATGTTACCGGTTCTCTCCACATGGGCCACGCCCTTACCAATGCCCTCCAGGATACCATGATCCGTTGGCAGAGAATGAAGGGCAAGACGACCCTGTGGCTTCCTGGAATGGACCACGCCGGTATCTCGACCCAGAGCGTTGTCGAGAAGATGTTGTGGAAGAAGGAGAAGAAGACCCGCCACGACATTGGCCGAGAGGCCATGGTCAACTTGATCTGGGACTGGAAGGATGAATACCACAAGAACATCAAGAACGCTCTGCGCAGACTTGGTGGTTCGTTCGATTGGAGCCGTGAGGCCTTCACTATGGACCCCAACCTGTCAGCTGCTGTGACCGAGACCTTCGTTCGCCTCCACGAGGAAGGTATCATCTACCGTGCCAACCGCCTGGTCAACTGGTGTGTGGCTCTGAACACCTCTTTGTCTAACCTCGAGGTCGAGAACAAGGAGATCGAGGGCCGCACTCTTCTCGATGTGCCTGGCTACGACAAAAAGGTCGAGTTCGGTGTCCTGACTCACTTCTGCTACGAAATTGATGGAAGCACCGAGCGTATCGAAATTGCTACCACTCGTCCCGAGACCATGGTTGGTGATACTGGTATTGCCGTCCACCCTGACGACAAGCGCTACCAGCACCTGATCGGCAAGAGCGCTCGCCACCCCTTCTTAGACCGTCTCCTCCCTATCGTTGCTGACCCCGACGTCGAGCCTGAATTCGGTACTGGTGCTGTCAAGATCACCCCTGCCCACGACTTCAACGATTTCAATCGTGGTAAGGCCCACAACCTGGAGTTTATCTCTGTTATGAACGACGATGGCACCTTCAATAAGCACGCTGGTCCCTTCGCCGGTATGAAGCGCTTCGATGCCCGTTACAAGGTCATCGAGGATCTCAAGGAGAAGGGTCTGTACGTGAAGTGGGAGCACAACCCCATGAAGGTGCCTCGTTGCGCCAAGTCTAACGATGTCATTGAGCCTATCATGAAGCCGCAATGGTGGATGAAGATGGAAAGCATGGTTCAGCCTGCCATCGATGCTGTTGAGAATGGCGATATCATTGTTCGCCCCGAGTCTGCCGAGAAGAGCTACTTCCGCTGGATGCGAAACCTCAACGATTGGTGTCTATCCCGTCAACTCTGGTGGGGACACCAGGCTCCTGCTTACTTCGTCAAGATCGAAGGCGAGGATGGCGATGACAGTGACGGTAACCTCTGGGTTACTGGCCGTACCGAGGAGGACGCTCGCAAGAAGGCCGAGGAGAAGTTCCCCGGTAAGAAGTTCTCTCTCGTTCGTGACCCTGATGTTCTCGACACTTGGTTCTCTTCTGGTCTGTGGCCCTTCTCTACTCTGGGCTGGCCCACTAAGACCCACGACTTCGAGAACCTCTACCCCACCTCCGTTCTGGAGACCGGTTGGGATATTCTCTTCTTCTGGGTTGCCCGCATGATTATGCTTGGTATCAAGATGACTGGCCAGGTTCCTTTCCGTGAAGTTTACTGTCATTCCCTCATCAGAGATTCTGATGGCCGCAAAATGTCCAAGTCTCTGGGCAACGTTATTGATCCTCTGGATGTTATGGAGGGTATTCAGCTGCAGACTCTTCATGACAAGCTGCAGTTAGGCAACATCGCTGATAAGGAGATTGCCGCTGCTACCAGGTACCAGAAGAAGGCCTTCCCCAAGGGTATCCCCGAGTGTGGTGCCGATGCTCTCCGCTTCGCCCTTGTCTCTTACACCACTGGTGGTACGACTCGTCTCATGTCTCCGTTTGATCCTATTTACTAATGATGATTTGCAGGAGGTGATATTGCTTTCGACATCCAGGTCATTCACGGCTACCGTAAGTTCTGTAACAAGATCTACCAGGCCACTAAGTTTGTCCTCGGCAAGCTCGGTGAAGACTTCAAGCCCCAGGCCAGTGTTAAAAAGACTGGCAACGAATCTCTCTCCGAGCGCTGGATTCTGCACAAGTTCAACACCGCCGCCAAGGAGATGAACGAGGTTCTTGAGCAGCGTGATTTCTCCACCTCCGCCCAGATCTCCTACCAGTACTGGTACTCCCAGCTATGCGATGTGTTCCTCGAGAACTCCAAGTCCCTGCTGGCGGATGAGGCCTCAGCCGAGACCAAGGAGTCTGCCAAGCAGACCCTCTACACAGCTCTCGAGGGCGCCCTAACCTTGATCCACCCTATCATGCCATTCGTCACGGAGCACCTGTGGCAGCGTCTGCCCCGTCGTGCGGGCGATGAGACCATCTCGATCATGAAGGCCAAGTACCCCGAATACCTCGCCGAGTTCGACGACCCGGCTGCCGCCAAGGCCTACGAGCTCATCCTTAACACTTCCAAGGCCATCCGTTCGATCCTCTCCCAGTACGACGTCAAGACACAGGGCGACATCATTATCCAGACCTATGATGCTACCAGCCAAAAGACCATCTCCGGGGAGATGAACACCATCAAGTCTCTAGGTGGTAAGACCCTCGGTGAGCTGTCTCACCTCGGCTCTGAGAATAAGAACCCTCCCTCTGGCTGCGTGGTTGCCGCTGTCGGTTCTGAGGCTGCTGTCTACCTCCGCGTCTCCAAGGAAGTTGCCCTGGAGCAGGAGGAGAAGGCCAAGGCTAGCCTCGAAAAGGCCCGCGAGACTGTTCGTAGGTCTCAGGGTATCATCAACGGCCCTGGCTGGAAGGAGAAGGTCAAGGCTGAGGTCCGTGAGCAGGAGGAGAAGCGTCTGCGTGATGCTGAAGGCGAGGCTGCCCGTCTCGAGGAGCAGGTCAAGGAGTTTGAGAAGCTGCGCTTGGAATAAATTGTCAGACTCAAATAGAAAATATCAATTGAACCCCTTCTTCTATGTTGTAGTTTCTTGTAATCCTTTATTCTAGATGGGTACATTTTCTCCACGCTATACCCTTGTAGTCCTCTCTATGTCAAAAAAACATAGAACAATTCAACGAACTTAGGACGCATCGGGTTAGAAAAACAAGCCATTCTATTTGTGGGGGCAATGTGTACCTTGATTTGCTTTTGAATTTTTTTTTTGTCGTTTTCGATCGAAAAAGACAATCGACTAACTTTCTATGTTTGATACAAAACTGAAAAAATGGAAGTACCTCTGCCATCATTTCAATAGCAAAACAACCAAAAAAGTAGTTTCCCTGGGAATCGAACCCAGAACCTTTCCGGAACATTTGCCAACGGCATTTGTTATGTTAACGGAAAATCATAACCGCTAGACCAGGAAACTGCTCGACCATTTAGGCGAATAATTGTAAGAAAGCGTAGATATTGACACTATATCTTTTCTTGCTTGGTTGTCGGTTGTGATGCACTGTGCTTCCCATAGAATGTGTTGTGGGAATTCAGGTATTCATAATAATAAAACCTGCGTAATCATCCTACCGCCAAGTAGATCAAAGTATGGGAAATCTGACCAAAAGTACTTGAATTAGCAGTTAAAAGCAACGAGGTCTACCTGTACTTGGGTGTCCAAAATTCACTACTCGAATTCCCCCCAGAATCAACGCTGCTCAAGCTGAGCCTGGCATCACAGATGATAAAAGATATCCACTCTCTCAGGCAACTCCTCCAGTCTCATTCGACATCTTCTTTTGCCTCATGTGGTGTCACGCGCTTCAGAGTGCAGAAATTGCGCTTTCTAGCCTGCTCTTTGTGAGTCCATAGATCCCAGATGCCAAGTGTAATAACCGCCAAAATGATTGTGGCAACAACATACATCCAGAATTGCTTAGGAGATTCTGAATTCCTCAGTTGTCCCATTGTTGAACTTGAACAAATTCATCCCGAAGATAGACTATGGAGTGGTGAGAAAAAGACGTATTTTGGGACATGGAGATGTGCCTCTTACCGAGACAAGGCTTGCAGGTAAGTATATAAGCGTCAGCATGGTGACTACCTTGACCGTTGCATTGTCGTCAGAGCTCCTGCTTCCAAGTTGAAGCAGCATTCCATCGGCACCGAGCATGCGTTTGTTCAATTCAACCAATTGATTGCTGAGGTCGAGCACCTGGCGGATCATCCTGAAATCCAACCCTAATTTGGTCTCCATATATGTCAGCGAGGAACATAATGGCCATTTTTAAGACATCTTTGAACTTCTCCTTTAGCACTTCTACCCCAACAGTGCACCTCTCTAGACATTTTTGTGGTCTCCCACACCTGTGGCCAGTTTTTGAAAGCTGTTGTCTGTACTGTTCCGCTGTAAACTCAGAACACTGCTCAAATAACCCAATTTCGTGATAGTGTGTAGTAACACCTCCAGTCTATATAGTGGGCAATAGAAGGTCGCGTGTGTTGTGAGTTTCAATCCAGTTGCTGTCACTTCCGGCAGTCGAAAAGTAGTCGAAAAGTGATCGATTTTTCTCAAGATAAAGTCCAGTGCTTTATCAGTCTAAAATTGAAGTCAGACAACTGAACGAGCGAGCAATGGTAAATACCGACGTGTCGATCCACATCGTTTCCTAGGCTGTTAACATAGGATCGCCAATTATCCAGACACGAAGAGAAACCCGAAGAATGAAGTGTATGCCATGCAGGATCAGAGCATAGTCCCTGCTGGTAAAGTGAGGCATACTGCTCGATTATGAAAACCCCTACCTAACCAATCATTTCCTTCTGCCTAACAAGAGGGGTGCCTGTTAGACTGTGAAGACAGTATGTGCACTCCACGTCCGAGCTAATGTGATCGCTGTTTATACTT